GTTCATGTAAGAAATCTAAATACCTTGACACCATCATGCTGTGAGGAAGCCTAAGCTAGCCACATGGAGATGACAGGTAGAGAAGCACTGAGGCACCAGACCTATGAGTGAAGCCTTCTTATATCATCCAGATGAGCCTTGTTAACTGAGTGCAGCATAGTGAGTAATCCCAGGTCATACCACATGGAGCAGTTAAACCCTGCCTAAATACCTGACTTACAGAATTGTGAGGAATAACAGGTCATTTTAAGCCACTGAGTTTTGGGTTGGTTTCTTGTGCAGCAATAGAAATTGATATACCAGCCAAACTGATTTTCAAGTATAGAGATTGCTATCCACATATAAGGATGCAGGTTCCTATGTGTTGGTGGTTCCTATGAGCCTTTCCTAGGAATCTGATAATGGCTTGAGACAACCAAAATGACTAGAGTAACATCAAAGTAAGACTAGTGATGCACATTAGTATTAGGATTAAGTGACTGATATATAGGAGAGTATAGTATGTAATAGCTGTATTTTTTTAAATTTTATTTTTTAATTATAGTTTACATTCAATTTAATTTGTATCAGTTTCAGGTGTACAGCATAGTAGTTAGACAGTCATCTACTTTACAAAGTGTTCCCCTCTACCCACCTGGCACCATACATAGTTATTACAATATTATTGACTATATTCTCTGTGCTGTACTTTATTTTGTATCTAGCAATTTGTACTTCTTAATCCATTCACCTTTTTCACCCTGTCCTTCAACCCACTTTCCTCCTGGCAACTATCAGTCTATTCTTTTTGAGTCTGTTTCTGTTTTGTTTGTTCATTTATATTGCTCTTCAGATTCCACATATAAGTGAAATCTTATAGTATTTGTCTTTCTCTGACTTACTTAATTAGCTGTATATTTTGGCAACGTAATAAAATCTAATTATAGAAAAATGTGGGGAGAGCAAGTGCAAAACAATTTTTATAGAGAGGGCGAGGAAGAGAGAGAAAAAGAAACATCAATTTGTTGTTTCACTTATTTATCCATTTTTTGGTTGATTCTTGTATGTGCCCTGACCTGGAATCAAACTTGGAACCTTAGCATATCGGGGGCAATGCTCTAACCCAGTAGTCGCCAACTTTTTGGACCTCACGGACCACCAGTGGTCCGCGGACCACTGGTTGGCAACTGCTGCTCTAACCAACTGAGCTACCCGGCCAGGGCACAAAACAGTTTTTAAAAACTATCTTCAGCAATTATATATTTGTAGTGTTGGTTTTGTATTAAGATAATGTTTTCTGTGCATTGTGAAACAAAGCTAAGGAATAATTTTAAATTATTCTAATTCTGTTATTTCCTATCTTGAGAGTCAAGAGTCCCTGTGTAGAAGAAATACGTTGGAAGATTAAATACACACCCTGTGTTCTTGAATTTTAATCAAAAGTATCAGTATGAACTCATTTTATCTTAAAATGGTATGTACATTATAGATGTATATACTATTTTTGTACAAATGTATATGTATAATGTTAATCTGAGAATTTTTATGTGTATTGTGGAATAAAGAAAATGAATATTGATGTAATATTTTAATTCTAACATTTCCTATGTATATCTATTGAAAAGTCCCAGGAATGAAAATCTATATTCCCAGAATGTGGTCTTGACATGCTGTTGATTTTTAAAAGGAACCAGGGCTCCTTTGATAAATCATTCATTCCAGATCTGGGACATGGACTATATAAAATGATCCTGGAATATTTTTATACCACCAACTACTAACTAGAGATCATGACAAAAGGATTCGGCAGCCATCCTGGTCAGTGTGGCTCAGTTGGTTGGGCGTCCTCCCATGGACCGAAAGGTTGCTGGTTGGATTCCTGGTCAGGGCATGTGTCCAGGTTTCAGGCTCAGTCACTGGTCGGGGGCATACAGGAGGCAGCCCACCAATTTTGTGCTCTCACATCGATGTTTCTCCCTCTCCCTCCCTCCTCTCTCCTCTCTCTTAAAAAAAAAAAAAAAAAAAAGAATCCCAATTCAGAAGAAAAAAAAGAGGATTCAGCAGCCAACTTGACTAGGCTCTAGGGTAGGGGCGGGGAATCTTTTTTTCTGCCAAGGGCCATTTGGATACTTATAACATCATTCGAGGCCATACAAAATTATCAGCTTAAAAATTAGCCCGCTATATTTGGTCAGCCATTTAATTAACTCACCCCTAATGCCTTGACAGGGCCAGACCAAATGATTTCCGGCTGGATGTTCCTCACCTCTGCTCTAGGATGACCAACTCTCCAAGTTTTAGAATTGAAAGTTCTGTGTCCCAGGAAACCTCTCAGCCTCCCATGAGATGTACGTTTGATCACCTTCAGAGGCTCTAACGGGCCAAAAGTGGGACAGTGTGAGCATCTATAAGGATAAGAGCTACAATGGATTGGCATCCTTTATTTTGCTTAAATCTTTGAGTTCATAATGATAGCTGAAACAAAACCAACTAATTGTTCATCTTTGGTGGATATTAGGAAAGCAGTCTTTAATTTTAAAAACTGATAAACCATGCAAAAGAATCAAGTATTTATCCTTACTTTTCTGTATGATTATTACCACTGGCTAAACAAATAGTAGATGGGGTAAAGTTGTGTGGTTTTTTTTAGTAGAGAAGTTTTGTATGCTACACAAATAAAGACAAAATGATAGAATTGCAGTATCAGCATTTTGCAGTCATCATTTTATTGGATTTTGACATTGTTTCAGTGGTTGCTAACAGCACTAAGAGGAAATCATACATGTGTTATAAGTATTCTACCACCTAATGAATGATCTTACCAAAAATATTAAACCTGAACCTAATGAAACTGCCTACATACAACTACTAATGTATAGGAAGTATAGAAGATAGTGGAACATGGTACACTACACTGTGGAAATGCTATCAAGAAAATTCAGTCTGTGGGAAACTATAGGACAGATGATCCAATATATTCAACAGATTGCAAAGGAAAAAAAAAGATGTCTAGGGAATTTATATACATTTAAAAAGGAAAATTAACCTATGGCATTTATGTATATTCATTTTGGTAATAAAATCATAAATAAAAGTAAGGAAGTGATTACCACAAAAGGCAGTATAGTGGTTTCTTTTGGTTGGGATGAGGAGTAGAGGGGGATGGATGGAGGGTTTTGTGATTGGCAGAGGGTTACTTGGAGGGCTTCTGTAGTGGCTGACATGGTTCTTTCTACTGATCTGTGTGGTGGTTCCAAGTTTATTTAGCTGTGATTTCTGTTTGTTATTTTCTATGTAGTATTTATATCTATATATTTTTAAAGACTATTTTTTAAAAAATATATTTTATTGATTTCTTACAGAGAGGAAGGGAGAGGGATAGAGAGTTAGAAACATCGATGAGAGAGAATCATCGATCAGCTGCCTCCTGCACACTCCCTATTGGGTATGTGCCCGCAACCAAGGTACATGCCCCTGATCAGAATCGAACCTGGGACCCTTGAGTCCCCAGGCCGATGCTCTATCCATTGAGCCAAACCAGTTAGGGCTTAAAGACTATTTTTAAGACTAATTTTAGGTTCACAGTATACTTGAGAGGAAAATACAGAGAATTTCCATATATCCCTTGCATCCATCATGCATAGCCTCCTTAATCAACATCCCCCCCCACTAGAGTGGTACCTTTGTTACAATTGATGAATCACTTAAAAACCATAGTTTACATTAGGGTTCACTTTTGGTGTACATTCTATGGGGTTGAACAACTGTATAATGATATGTATCCATCATTATAGTGTCATACAGAGTATTTTCAGTGCCCTAAAAAGCTGTTCTCTGCTTATTCATTTTCCAACACCTGGCAACCACTGATCTTTTTACTGTTTCCATTGTTTTGGCTTTTCTAGAATGTCATATAATTGGAATCATAGAGTATGTAGCCTTTTCAGATTGGCTTCTTTCACTGAGTAATATGCATTTAAGGTTCCTGTATGTCTTTTCATAACTTGATAGCTCCTTTATTTTTAGTGCTGAATAATATGTTTGTATTATATTTGATAATAAATTCTAAAATAAAAAATAAGGAAGGAAAAATTGATAGGAGTGGAGGCAACTATATTAGGAAATGGTGAAAGGTAATGCATTACAGATAATCTAATACTTGTTGACTGAGGATTTTATTAAATGCTATTCTGAGAATATTCAACATAATAAGCCAGTGAAGTTTATTAAAAATGGGGCTGGAGTGCTGAAAACTGTTTCTAAGACAATAAATCTGGCAGGATGGATTTCAGAAAGCTGGCCAGGGGACCACAGTATTAAGGTGAAGATGATAAAGATTTGGATTAGGGTGATGCTAGTAGGAATAGAAGTAAAGCAACAATTATGTTATGCAGCAGAAAAATCGTCAATAAGACTTGGTGACAGATTAATATGGTTAAAAGTAAAAGCATTAGAAATAAGCTCAAAAATTTAATGTTTGAGGCTACATCCTTTATTGGGGAGGTTCTGGGGAATTCTGGCAGGATAATTCTGATTAGACTAAAGTAAGATCTGTATTTCTCCTCATGATGTATTTAGAATCCCAGAGGAGTGATTGCTAGGGATTCTACTTGAGAGATGGTCTATCTAAAAATTCAATCTGACAAGCAAGGAACTGATAGTAGTGGTTATTTTGGGTAAGTTCATATTTGAGACATAGCGATATGAGGGTGACATTATCTTTTGAATTTTGAATCATATGCTTATATTATCTATTCAAAAAGTAAATAAAATGTAGTAATTAAAAGATAAAGATGCCCAAATCTTCCACTTTCCAGGGGGGAAATTCTTATTTGTCATTGACTTTATTATTTTTAAGCACTTCAGACTATAGTTACTCATAAATGCAGTCAGGCAAATATGTTTCATACCTTGCTGCCTTTGACTTATATATGTTTATAAACGCATATTTGATTTTAGGTTTGTATATGTTGTGTGTGTGTATGTTAGGGTGCATGAATGTGGCTGTGTGGCTCTGGTATGTGTGTATTTCACTCAGAAAAACAAAATGTTTATAGCTGGAGCCTCAGGGATCCTGTGCTCTCAGTGCTTTTAATTTTCATTGCCACCATTTAGGATTTTCCTCTTTAGATGGGAGATGTCCTTGCTTGTCAGCCAGCTTCAGGGCCATTCAAAGATGGTGGTAATGCAGCAACAGCACAGACTGTCTCTCTTCTCTTCACTATCACTGCTGACGCTAAAGGTCATTACATACTAGTATATATCATTTCAGCAGTCTCCCTTCTCTCCACTCTCCCCAAGGCAATTGTCCTGGGTCCTGCTTCTGTAGTAAAGTGCCCTGAAATACATCAGTCTTTATTTCATGTCATAGTCTTTTGGATAGGTAAAGAACCAGTGTTGGATCTGATAATGAAAAGGTAATAGGAGGACATATATGGTAGTTTTTAAAAAAGAACTTTCTTGGATAATTATTAGTGATAAAACATAGGAAAATTCAAGTAGGGCATATTCTTCTTTAAGGTCTAGTAACATTGGGAGATGTTTTAAGTCTGTTCCCCTAGGGACGTAGCAAAAAGAAACCAGGATTGGAAATAATTAGAGGCCATAGTAGGAAGCTGGGCAGTCCTAGACAGTGATTGTCAGCTTTGGCTGCGCATTGGCACCATTTAGGGTATTAAAAAAAATATATATGATGCTTAGTTCACACTGCTAGAGGGTCTGATTTAATTGGTCAGGGCTAAGGCCTGGCATTGGAGCTTTTTGAACTTGAATTTAATATGAAGTCAAGAGTGAGGACCACTGGCCTAGAGAAGAGTCCCTGGGTTTTGTTGCACCTCAATCCCAAGTTCTCTCCATTGGGGATAAATTGGAGTTTTTGAATGATGATTTTTAAAAGTTGTGATTATTTAGGTTACTGAGTGGTAGAAAAACAAAAAAGACAACGAATCTGTAGCATCTGGAAATAATGGACAGGTTTACCTACTTTTTTGTTGTTGTTGTTAATCCTCACCTGAGGATATTTTTTAGAGAGAGTATAGGGAGGAGGAGAGACAGAGAGAAATATCTATGTGAGAGAGACACATTGATTGGTTGCCTCCCGCATGCGTCCCAAATGGGGCTAGGGATCGAGCATGCAGCTAAGGTACATACATGCCCTTGACCAGAAACAAACCAGGGACCCTTCAGTTCAAGGGCGAATGCTCTATCCACTGACCCATACCAGCTAGGGCCAGATTTACCTACTTATTGAACATTATGATATTTGTACAGGTTGCCTGTGATTTGCTTCGGAGAATAATTCGCATCTTGCATCTCAGTAAGAGACTCCAAGGACAACTGCAAGGGGGTAGTAGAGAGATAACAAAAGCTGCTCAGAGTCTCAATGAACTTGGTAAGTCCTTTTGATTACAAAGTTAGTAGAGTTTTAAAGGATTTTTCAGTCACTTGATTTGTTTTCTTTTGTTACGTTATCACCATTAACAAATATTATTGAGCACACTTATTTAATAATTGACTGTTTACAACATTGTCACACTTTTCAAAGTGGGTGAGTAAAATTAGTTGATTTCTTAGAAATGCTGTTTATATTTAAAACTATCATATAGTATAATTGGCCTTTTAAAAATATAGGCCTGTGAATTTTAACCTGTGTATAGATTCATGTAACCTCCGCACAGTCATGGTACAGAATAGCTCAATCTCTCTCATGATCTCCTTCTATAATAATGCCTACCCACTTCCCCTCCCCTACTCCTAACCCTGGCAACTACCCAATTGGTTTTGCATTACTGTTGTTTTTGTCTTTTGTCTTTTGTTACCTTTTGAGACTGATTTCTTGTACTCAGCATAATACCTTTGAAAATTATCAAGGTTTTTGTATATACCGTAGTTTGTTACTTTGTGTTTGTTGGAATACCATTGTGTGATTGTACCACTATTTGTTTTTTGATTCACTGATTGAAGGAAATATGCATTTTCAGTTTTTGGTGATTATGAATAGAACTACTATAAACATTTGTGTACAAGTTTTTATGTGAACTTAAGCTTTCATTTCCCTAGGAGAAATATCTAGGAGAAATGCTGTTTTTTAGGTGACAAATCCCATGTTGACATTATGCCTAGAAGATTATTGAATTTATTTCTTCATTTGTTCCTGAAACATTTAGACTCTTGACATTCAAGGGTTTAACATTCATGGTTTTGACTATTAAAAAGCTGCAAGGTCTGTGATGAAGCAGTTGATAATTTTTCAGGCAAAATGTTGAATAGCTATTGAGTGGGCAGAGAATTACCTAGCACCTGGATTTTAATGAGGATTTGTGTGTTTTTTTCCCGATAGGCACACAGTAATTTTTCTGAAGTGGATGTGTTTAGTAGTATTTGTAACTTTGTAGGTTCAAAAGGTCTTTATATTCATCGCAAATATCAAGATTCTATTTAGTCTTGGTGGTATGCTGTGAAAGTAGTTATGGGAAAATAATATCTGAAGGATGTGTATTACATGTTTTTTTGAAATTTTCTGTTTGATATTTCAATTACATAGTCATGCTGTAAAGATTATTCTGTATTTTTTACCAAGACAATGTAATATCTTTCACAAATCATGCTTGAACACATTTCAACTTATAATGCTTAAATACATTGCTTAGATACATCATTGGGAATAGATTCAACTTGTGATTTGTAATGCTGGGAAGATATTGTATAAAAAGTTAAGTTTTTAGCAGTGAGTAATGATTGCTTTTTTCAGACTGTGCTAAATTTAGGTGTATAAAAATCCTAGTATTAGAAATTACTTTTTGCTTTAACTTTTAAAAAATCAGGCACAAATATCAATTATAATGCTTTGAGTTTGTGCAGTGCAGAGTATAAACCCACTATCCTTCCAATGAGGTGTTGGCTTTATCCATAGTTTTATAAATATACCTAGAGGCCCGATGCATGAAATTCTTACAAGGGGCTGGGCCCTCGCAGCCTTTGCGGCTTGCCTCGGCCCTCACAGCCCCAGCTTCGTCTGGAAGGACTTCTGGAAGGTAGTTTGGCTGTCTGGTCTAATTAGCATATTACGCTTTTATTACTATAGATGATGATGAGAGGTTGTTGAGAAAGTATAGTTTGTGGTGGGTTTATCTCAAAATGGATTGTATTAATTTAAATTTTAAAGCTGCAAGGACTGGCTACCACCATGGAGGATCATCTGTGGGCCCACCCACAGAGCAGAACTTATTTCAAAAGGGCTCTGGTTGCCTGCTGTGTCCGCCCCTTGAGTGTGTAGATGTGGAGATGGTTGGGTGAGGCTTTGACATGATCTGAAACTGTATACTGGGTGTGCTGACTGGGTCCTTATAGGAAGTATAAGCCAAGGCCAGCCACCACCTGTGTTCTGCCTGGGGCCACCTGGCATGAAGTACAAAGTGAGCTGCACATGGCTGCTACTTGAGCTGTACTTGGAGGTGCCCAGGCAAGGCCAAACTGTGAACCAAGGCCTGCTGCTGCTAGTGTTGGGCCTGGGGCTGCTTAGTGAGAGGTATAGGTCACTGTGAGGCCAGATGCTGCTTGTTGAGAATTATTAGGAACATTTGAAGTGTGATCAAGGACAGGCGATTTGTATGGGAAAGCTTCTGCAGCTCAGATATCCCTCTCACATGTGGGTGTGGGACCAGCCCATTCCCCCCCACCCCCACCCTCTTTCTCCTCCCTTCCTACCAGTCTCCATGTGGCTTCTTTTAATTGCTAGTTGTAGAGTGTCCATTCAACTAGACATCAGGCAGCTCTGAATGATGGTTGTTCTGTAGTTTAGTTATAATTTTGATATGGTTGTGGGAGGATGGGAATACCACATTTACCTCTTCTGCCATCTTGACCCAAACTTGTTAGTTTTGGATACTTCATATTTATAGGTTAATATGATAAACTTTGTATCTTTTTATAATAATGATGCTTTCTAAACAGAAGCAAATCTCTTCATTTCTGCCAGTCTACGTTTATATTTTTAAAGTTTTATGGTTTTTTAAAATAACATATGTAGACTAAGCTTATCTACACTAATAAAAGACAGACATGCAAATTGACCATACCTTTGCTACGCCTTAAGCCATGCCCATCAGCCAATCAGAGCAACTATATGCAAATTAACCCAACCAAGATGGCAGCTGGCAGCCACAGAGCTGGAGCAAGCAGGAGGCTTGGTTGCCCCAATGATGGAGGAAACCAAGCTTCCTGCCGGCTCTCAGCTCCACTCAAAGCAACAAAGTTTCAATTATAGAAGGTAAATAAACCCCAGATACCTGCTTTCAACCGGCCGGGGCCACGGAGCTGGAGCAAGCAGGAGGCTTGCATTGCACCTGGCGAAGGAGGAAGCCAAGCTTCCCTCCCTCCCGCCCTGGCTGGCTCTGAACTCCTCTCAAGGCTACAAAGTTTCAATTATAGAAGGTAAATAAATCCCAGAATAAAAAAGAAAAAGAAAAAAAGGAGAGGCTGGGAGCTTCGGTCGCCGGGGGGCTTGGCCAGCATGAAAACGACCCTCAGCCCCTCACCCAGACTGGCCAGGCATGCCAGTGGGGACCCCCCACCCTAAAGGGGGTGTGGCCAGCCTGCAAACAGCCATCAGCTCCTCACCCAGGCTGGCCAGGCACCCCAGTGGGACCCCTACCCGGATCCGGGACACCCTTCAGGTCAAACCACCCAGTCCCCACCCATGCACTAGGCCTGTATCCTATATAATAAAAGGGTAATAGGCAAACTGACCCTAACAGCAGAACAACTGGGAATGACTGGTCACTATGACACACACTGACCACCAGGGGGCAGACGCTCAATGCAGGAGCTGCCCCCTGGTGGTCAGTGCGCTCCCACAGGGGGAGCTCTGCTCAGCCACAAGCCAGGCTGATGGCTGCCAGCACAGCAGTGGTGGCGGGAGCCTCTCTCACCTCCTCAGCAGCACTAAGGATGTCCGACTGCAGCTTAGGGTTGCCGGGCTGCCAGAGGGATGTCTGACTGCCAGCTTGGGCCCTATCTCCCAGGGAGTGGGCCTAAGCCAGCAGGTGGACATCCTCTGAGGGGTCCCAGACTGCGAGAGGGCACAGGCCGGGCTGAGGGACCCCCCCCCCCCCCGCCAGTATTTAATAAAATCTATTACTTATAATTAAATTTAGGAAACAATTAGGTTTCAATATACATTAAGACTTGCAGTTTGTTAGAAACCTCATATAAAAATGAGTGACTAAGATGTAGTTTTGTGTTTGATAAGCTTAAGGTATGTTCTTTTCTGAAACTAAGCATTGCTTGGCTGGTTTGGCTCAGTGGTTGAGTGTTGACCTATGAACCAGGGGGGGCACAATTCGATTTCCAGTCAGGGCACATGCCAAGTTGCAGGCTTGATTCCTGATAGAGAGCATGTAGGAGGCAGCCAATCAGTGATTCTCTCTTATTATTATTGGTGTTTCTGTCTCTCTCTCCCTCTACCTTTCTCTCTGAAATCAGTCAAAATTTTTTTTAAAAAAATTGTTAGAACTAAGCTCAAAACTGATGATGACGATGATCATGTAAGAGAAACTAGTCTCTGCCCTAACCGGTTTGGCTCAGTGGATAGAGCCTCGGCCTGTGGACTGAAGGGTCCCAGGTTCGATTCCGGTCAAGGGCATGTACTTTGGTTGCGGGCACATCCCCAGTAGGGGGTGTGCAAGAGGCAGCTGATCAATGTTTCTCTCTCATCGATGTTTCTAACTCTCTATCCCCCTCCCTTCCTCTCTGTAAAAAATCAATAAAATACATTTAAAAAAAAAAAATAGAGAAACTAGTCTCCTCATGATCATGATCATCCCTAAGAGAAACTAGTCTCTCAGCTTTCTTGTTTTGGCTCATCTGCATTTTCCATAAAATAGTCAGAAAAATCCTCATTATTCTCTTACCATAAGACTTAAAATTTCTGGTCCATATGTCATATGTGAAAACCAATACCCTGTTAATTTTGAAATGCTTTTAACCAAGATTTGCGTACATTTAAATTACCAGGTTATTTTTTTTGTTATGAATTCAGTGTTATTTTTAACCAATTTTAGTGAATAAGCCATATGTTGGAAAAAACACTAGTAATTTCACTGACATAAATAAATATTACATAGCTACAGCTATATAGTCTACATATTTAAACTTAAGGGTGTTCAGGCAACGATCAGCATGTGATCACACTGCATCACACAAGGTAATTGGTTCTATTGTCTCATGGCATGACTTTCCGCAGTTTTTTAAACTATGTTGAGAGAGAGAGAAAGAGGAGAGAAACATCAATGAGAGAGAATGCTCCTTGCATGCCCCCTGCTGGGGATCGAGTCTGCAATCCATGCATGTGCCCTGAGGAACTTGAACCAGTGACCTCTTGGTTCATGGATA